GTTTGCAAGGCGAAAGTTCTTTTTTCTATAAATTGTTTTTCTTTGCTTCCCGGATTATATGGACGTATTTTATGTATTTTTGTCGGTTTTTTTTTTTTTTTTTGTTTCTTTTTTGTAAGTGTAGTGGGTAGTAAAAGAAAGAAAACCTTTAAAGTTCAAATAAAAACGTAATATAAATTCCTGGTATAACACAGTTGTAAAAATAAAATAAAAATAACTAAAATGAAACAGTTATATATTTCCTGATATGCAAAAGATGTAGTCCCAATAATAAGGTGGTGGCGGTGACGGCAACGACGTGCTTGGTAACTGATGTTGTTTATAATGGTAATTGTGATGCTGATACTCGATAATCGCAGTTTTAGTAGTAGTAGTAATAGCAGCAGTTCTACTTGTTGTAGAAATAAGAAAGAACGTTACTCACACCAACAGTAGTAATACAAGTTGTAGTAGTAGCAATAGTAACAGTGTTATCACGAATTGTTCACAGTAAAAGAACAAAAAAAATAAACTACTTCATAGCTTAGGAATTTACTAAGTAACCACTTTGCGGTTATAGATGACAGTCGAAGATGGTAAAATGAAGTAGTTAATTCAGAATAAATCAATGTCGCAGTTAGTTTTGAAAATGGTCGCGTGTAAATAGTTATCTAACAAATAGGATTTTACAAGCATATTATCAGAACTACGGTTAAAAATCCGAGGCCCTGGGTGCATGCGAGCCGATTCCAATAATCCACATGTCTAAACGAAAATAACGACCCAAGTTTATCGAAAGAGCAACGGCACTAGTCCTAACGGAATTATGCTGACTTCAATTTGACTGCATATTGTGATTGATGAATGGACGTAAAAGCTTGAATATAAATTAAACTTAAAGCTTCAACAACGGCGAATGTAGAACTCGCAAAGAGATTGGTATGTAAAATTGAGGATGTTATGGAGAAAGTGTCAGTGGATGCCAAAGCTTGGATAAGTTCTTAATGGTATTTTTTTTTTAAAGACAGGTGGGGAACGTGAAATAGCGCGAAAAAAGTAATGGTTAAGATTGAGAGAGAGAAAGAAAAAAAAAAGATTCATATATTTATTCGGAGGTATTCGTGCATGTAATTTTTATTTACTATATAAATATACGTGCGTGTGTGCGTGTCGCTGTGTGTGTGTCTGTCTTTTTCTCTCTGCAAATATGTGTGTCTGCCACGTGCGGGTGATTTAATGAAAAATAAAACGGTAAGCGTGGATAGAACACAAATCGAAAGATAGCATTTATAGGCATGTTTGTTTGTTTGTGTATATATATATATATATATATATATATATATATATATATATATATATATATATATATATATATAACACTTTATATACACACACACATAAACACTCAATATATATATAAATATACACATAAACACTCAATATATATATATATATATAATATATACACACATAAACACTCAATATATGTATATATATATATACATACACATAAACACTCAATATATATATATATTAATATACACACACATGAACACTCAATATATAAATATATTCATATACACACATAAACACTCAATATATATATATATATATATTTTTTATACACACATAAACACTCAATATATATATATATATATATATATATATATTTATGCACACACATAAACACTCAATATATATATATATATATATATATATATATATATATATATATATATATATATATAAACATTCAAAATATATAAGTATAAACTCTCAATATATATGAATAAATAATCAGTTGTATCAACTATGAACACCGTGCTGACCTGTGCTTGGAAAATTAAAAGACAAAAAACAAAACAAAACTTTTCTATTACTTTAGATAGACACAACATACATATTCAGTTAAAAATAATGAAACGACCTCCTCGATAATGGCTAAAGGGATCGGATATATTCGGACAGTTTTTACACCTTATGTCCAGAAAAGAAAACACAAGAAAAATTCAATAAATCGCTTAATCGCAGTACCTCTTGTCATTAATGAAAAATGAATCTTTTATCAAAGAGGATTGCTGTCTAAATTCACAATCATATATATATATATATATATATATATATATATATATATGTGTGTGTGTGTGTGTGTGTGTGTGTGTGTTTTCTGTCTTCTTATATATATATATATATATATATATATATATATATATATATATATATATATATATATATATATATATATATATATATATATATGAATATATATATATATATATATATATATATATATATATATATATAGGTTTGTGCATGTCTGTGTCTATACATTATGTGTGAGTTTTTACACAGACGGAAATTGTATTTTCGCTGTGATTTTTCAAATGCATCTTATGTGTAGTTGCGTCTGCATGCAATTATATTGACATTTGCCAGGTTGTAAGCATGTGTTATACGCCCAAAATAATAGCTGGATAATAGCTGGACAAAGTTATGGATAATTTTTTAATTTATTTATCATTTCTCCATGTGAAAAAATAAAAAAATAAAAGAAGAAAACAAATATATTTTTAAATTTTCATTATTCGATAAAATGCGTTGGCACACTTTGGATATCATTGTAACTTAGATGTTTTTAGATATACGATTCTTATGAATGCGTGTGTCTCGCTGTTCATTTCGATTGTTATAAGCGACGTTATAGACAGAAGACAAGGCTAAGTTTAATTTGAAAATGGATAAATAAAGCAATGCCTGGAGTATTTCAAAGACGAAAAATGGAAAGAAAAAAAAGTAGGAATTTGCCTTCAAAGAACATGCATATTATTTATGTAAAGAAAAAGCACGTACAAATAATGAACAAAGTAAAGTGAATAAAAAGAAAAGAAGCATTCTGAGGGCGGGAGATGAATAAACACGTGCTTCTATTGTCAAAGACAGACACGAAGAAAGAACGGAAGAGAATTATTACTTTTTTCTTTAAAATCATTGGGAAAGAATGACAACTTGAAAAAAAAAAATTCAAGAAAGAGCTTTTTTGAAAATGAATGCGTATATATATATATATATGTATGTATATATATATATGTATATATATATATATATATATATATATATATATATATATATATATATATATTTATATATATATATATATATATATATATATATATATATATATATATATATATATATATATATATAGGTAGTAATCGGTTCCTATAATCCAGGTGAATCCTGTTAACACAACATAGAATTTGAAATATGACTCACAAAAAGAGTGCTCTATGTTTATTCACAATAAACAGAACAAATTTTCATTTTGCAATTTTAATGGTATATATATATATAGAAATTAATGCTTATATATATATATATATATATATATATATATATATATATATATATATATAGTTAAATTCAGATATATATATATATATATATATATCTATATATATATATATAGATATATATATATGAACGTATTAATTTCCAAAAATATTCATTCTTATACTTTATATATATATATGGCGGGAATCGTTCGCCAAAAAGCGAAGTATCGATTACAAATGAAATAAAAATGACATGATGATAATAATTATAATTGCTATTGTTTCTACTCAGTTATGTGCCATGCTTGATACACGCTTAGACGATCATGTATCTTTCGATATGTGACTAACGAGGCAGATTTGTTTTCCCCGTACGTTGCCATTTCTTTCTGTGGCAGACCAGTTGCCATAGAAGGCTATAGAACCCGGTCTGTTCTGCTATTTACCCATAGCTGGAGAGCGAAGAGGTGGATTCGTACCTTTCCCAAGTATATTAGCATTGGATTCGAACTCGGCTCATCGATTCCTCAATCCGAGCTGCTATCCATTACTCCACCGTGCATCCGCCACCGTTTCTACTGCTACAATAAATTTTTTGAATGATGATGATGACGGTGCTACAACTCTGCGGCAAGATGTTAGTGAAATAAGCAAAATGAAAAGGTTGCCGATAGAAAAGGCAATTTCTCTACTCTCAGTGAGGGTGACACCAGTGGTATCAACAACGACACATCAGTAGCAATCACAAAGTTCTTCTTCTTCTTCTTCTTCTTCTTCTTCTTCTTCTTCATCATCATCATCATCTTGGTCACTTTTTCTTGTTTTCTCCTTTTCTTGATTTACTTTCTTCATATTAATTTCTTTTTTCTTTCTTTTTATCTACTTATCTTATTACACTTTTCTACTTCTTCATCTTGTTCTTTCTTTCTTCTTTTTCTTCCTCCATTCTAGGAATAACAGTAGTTGTAGTATTAGTAATTCTGTAGTAGTTTTGTTGTTTAATATATTTTATTGTTCACAGAACGCTTGAGTGGCTTATGTTTATTTTACCAATAACCGTAGTAATAGTTGCAGTAAACGATATCATCAAGTAATTACTTTCAAAATAATATATTGACAACAAAATAGTTTTAAAATTAAAATAACATTTTAATGACACAACTAAATTATTTCAGTCTTTCAAATGATAACTATCATTTGGCATCGTAATCATATAACACTAATAATAAAAGGTAAAAATGTTTATTCCTTTGTAGGTATTCTTAGTCAAATTCAATATATCTTTCCGATTAAAAAATATACATGAGAATTATTTGGGGGAAAACTGAGTCGCCTCAAATTTTTCTCTCAACTCATCTGTCTTTTCTGGCACTATAGAAAAAAAAAAAAAAGGAAAAAAGAATTAAACCTTATCTTATAGAAAAAGACCAAATCCGTTTTTACGCAGAATAATTTTGCGAAATTTTAGAAATTAAATGAAAGCGAACAATTTGCTTATGTTAGAGAATTATAAGAACACCTTTCATCAGAATTCGGAAGAAACAGTGAAAAAAAAAATCCTTGGAAATATAACGATAAAGGAGGGCTTCGAAGAATTAAACCTAACAAAGAATTTGAGAACAAGAGATGAAAGCAGAAAACCACGTAATTTACGAGCTTGTGTGTATGAATGATGGAACGTGCACGAGAGCCTTAACAAAGGCAGAAAAAAAATTGTTAAGGGATAGGAAATCCTGAAGAGACATGATCGCCCATGTCATGAAAAGACGCGGTGCGTTGACGAAGATTCTGTAAGAGAAATAATTGTGTAAGATGTTATAAGTGATTATACGTAAGCTACTTCTTATCATATAGATTCGTCTGGGGAACTGTTTTTTGTAAATATATAAGCATCTTAAAAGCCGAAGAATTATTATCAGACTTTAACTATTATCTTCTGTATCCCTTGAAATAAAAATTATATTTCGGAATCATAAAACACTTTTAATATTCTATTTGTATGTTTATTTGTTTGTTGAAATATGAAACAAGTAAGAAGTCAAATTAGCTGTGGAGGCAGTTAGCTGAAAATCTCAAAATCCATATTGAAATAAGAAAAATGGTTTGAAAAAAGTAAGAATAATCGACCCTATTAGCAGTAAAAATGATCGACCCTCTTAGCAATAAAAATAATCGACCCACTTCGAAGAAATTTATTTGTTCGTAATTTATAAAGCCAAATGAAAAAAATTGGCTACGTGATAAATTTCACACTACTTCAAATAAAAGCTTAGGAAGAAAAATAACGTTGGTACTGGAAAGAGCTATAACAGCTACTGGATTTGAAAAAACCTATTTTCCTGAAAAATTGTTTTAAGAGGAAGATTTTTTACATTTCAAAGGGCGACTGCTCTCTCAATGAATACCAGGTGTTTCCTTATAAGGAAACGGTTAATAATACCATTGCCATTACCAATGAGAACTGGACTTGCTACTCTGTAAAAATGGTCTGTAAATTATAGATTCCCTGTGATCAATAAGATGATCCTAGTCGAAAGTGTCGATGAGTAATTGTAAAATTACAAAACATTCGACAAATATTGAACGTTTGATCTCTATCATACTTCTTCGACTACTAGCGTTATATATATATATATATATATATATATATATATATACATATAAATATAAATATAGATAACTAGACTCGTTTCGAAAAACCCTCGAATTTTTGATTTGCTAATCAAATCAATCTCGAGGGAAAAAAAGGTTTTAAAAAAAGAAAGAGCTACAAACATGGACTTCTGCCGACAAAAAAATCGCACAGATGCAGGTCTGAAGCCCAAAGAAAAAACCCCGATACGAGTAACAACTAACTAACAAAAGAGCTCAATACAACCGTAGAGCAGACCTAGATGTTGTATCTACATATATATATATATATCTATATATATATATATGTGTGTGTGTGTGTGTGTACAAATGAGAGAAAAAACAAATGGATTAAAAACCCACAGTTCGAAGCATTTACTCTTAAAAAGGTGCTCAATGCAAAGTAGACGAAATATTATTACTATATTTTTTATAGGAGGTTATAATAAATACATTTTGAAATCGCTACACAAAAGCTTTCACGTTTCAATACTATTTTTGTACTTCCTCAGGCGATGGTAGGTAACTGGTTAACTACAATTGCTTGAGGAAGTACAATCATATTATTGAAACATGAAAGCTTTTGTGTAGATATTTAAAAAAAAAGTTTTTATTATAACCTCTCATATATATGTGTGTGTGTGTGTTTATGTGTGTGTTTGTGCATGTGTGTGTGTGTGTAAGAGAGAGAGAGAGAGAGAGAGAGAGAGAGAAAATTAATGACAAATTGTAAATCTGTGTGACGCATTTCGTTCTTTCGTTAATAATGATTCTATAAAAATAATGTTATTTTTTGATGGATATGAACGTTTAAACGTTAAAAAAATATTAGAAAGAATATGAAGGCTGTGACAATCATCATCAAAAACCGCCAAGTAAATTATTTATTTTTTCGTATAGATTTTATTATTTCGAATCAGGGGTATGTACCTCAGTCAAGACAAGTTGCACCAGGTATGGTCAACCGTTTTCGAGTAGTGTGCCACTGGTGAAGCCGTGCATCACAAGACAAGCCGCATTATTAAAAATATTCAAGGTATTTCTTTTTCTTGAAAGAGCCTCAACTGTTTTTCTTACGGAAGACAATACGCGTAAACTGACTTAAAATTAGGGAAAATTTGATCCGTTTTTATTTTTTTTTGTGGAGATAATATTTTGATAAAAATGTCGAGAAACAAAATCTTGGTATGATATTATGACTGATCGAATTGTAATTAACCCATGTTTGTGATTTCTGCCTAACTAATTCATTTGAAAATGCAAAACTATTTTTTTTACAAGAAAATATATATATTATTTACGTAGAGATAAAATGTTATAAACGTTTTTTGTTCCCAAAGTAAACGATGTTTACATGACTGATGTTCCTTAGTGAAAATCGCCAGTGATGAATAAAGTTAACTTCGACGAAAGTTTACAAAATTCACGAAACTTTGTTTTGCATCATTGTTATCTGTGTAGTGATGTATGAGATTGTTGTAACCTAGAAAGGGTTACTGAATGAGGAATAGCCAAAACGGAGGTTGCAAATGAAATGGTAATCTTTATAACATCAATAAAATACAATATTCGCCAGCGGCGTGAAGTAGGAAAACCACTGCTAGTGGTGGACTACTTAGACACCATATTACCCCCACTTACAATAGTGTCCAAAGTATTTATAAGGATTGAGACATTCCCATTAGTGTTCATAGGTATGGTATATAAAGAAACAACAGGCAACAGAGATATGGTTCTACAGAAGGATGCTGAGGATACCATGAACCGAGCGTGTGAACAACGATGTGGTTTTTGAGTGGATACAAACAAGAAGGAAGCTTATATTTAACATCAGGAAGAGGCAGCTGGAATTATTGAGCCGCGTAATGAGAAAAGAGGGCCTGGAGAATCTGATACTCACAGGTCGAACAGAGGGAAAATGAAGACAAGGGAAAGCAATGCATGATATACCTGGCGGGCTTAAGCAAGTGGGTGACAGAATGTGGTCTGGCGGGAGGTGGTAGAAAAACGAAGCTTTTTGAGAACT